GTCGAATGTTTCATGTATAGAAACGGCTATTTAATACCATTACCATACTATTACCATCGACGATAGAAAGAACGATAACAGTTAGTGGACTTAGGAAGTCTAATTTCAACCGACAATAACACTGTTTGGTCAATGAATGCGGAATGTGTGGAAATGGCTAATCTCACAGTAATATAGTAACAAGTTTAAGTATAATCTTAAGAAGCTTTATTTGACTCAGCTTTAACGCCGAAAAACGTTTGTTTGTTTGTAACGGATGGTTCGAGGCGATAGGGAAAATGGGATGAATTTATTTTATTGGAAGTGGCTATTTTGCCGGTCCCGGTAAAATAGACAAACATGCTTTTATGCTTATTTTACCGGCTTCGGTAAAATAGCCCCCAATCTATTTTGCCTGTAGATATTTTTATTATTATGGAGGCAGATAAAGTTAAAAATAACAACACACAGATTTAACACAGAAGTTATTGATCAATTGTGAAGACAAGTTAAAATCTTTTCCAGCAGAAATTTTTAAAACATAAATGAAAATCATTCATTCATTATCAATTATTAAAAGAAATATAGAAGTATTTGAATATTTTTCAGTCTCTGAAAATCCCAAACTTGCCACTGGCTTCTTGCCAATACACTTCAGGTGAACCAACTGAAGACAACAGTCACAGAACACAGAATCCATTTTGTTCAAATCCTGTCGACACAGTTCACACAACCACTATATTCTTAGTTCTAAAACACTACTTATATTTACCTTTGTGTCTGTTTTGACGGGGCCTGCAAAATAATCATCGTGTCTGTTTTATTTATAGTCTATTTGAATTTTATTATTACACCCACTGTTCAGTCAGATGCGCGATACACGCTTAGGCGATCATGTATCTTTCGATACAAGACTGAAGAAGCAGATTTTTTCTCCTGCACTAGGTTGCCATTTCTTTCTGCGGTAGACCAGTTTCCATCCAAGGCTATCGAACCTAGTCTGCCCAGCTATTTACCCATAGCTGGGAGGAGAAGAGGATTCATTAGCACGGGTATTAGCACGTAAGTGAATGTAATGGATCAGATTGGAATTCGAACTCGGCTCTCAAATTCCTCAATCCGAGCCGTTATCCATTACTCCACTATTTCGAAGTGCGAATTGAAATTTTCAGTGACGTTAAATATTTTCTCCGAATGTGGATTCCTGTGGTAAACAACTGAATATCACTCTTTCTTATTTGAAGGCTTATAAATATTCGGCATTTTTGGCTGTTTTTTTTTTCTTTCATTGTAAACAAATTGGCGCTATTTGGTTTTTACCAACATTAATACTCCTTTTGAATTGAAAAAAAGAACGAAACAAAGAAAAGAAACAGGCATAAGCTCCAATAAACCTAAACAGGCAGGTAAATGTTTGCTAATCGTATCTTAATCTGGGCGATCAAATTGTACTACCCATCAGATCGAACTCACCCCAAAAGACTGTGACGTACGAATTTTTAACAATCGGTCAACATCGTTTGCCTGCTTGTCTATAAGAACTTTCCCACAGCATGTTAATAAATGAAACTTAGTCTAGGCAGGTACAGATAAACAAAAGTTGTGAATCCAACTTAGTAGCATTATAAATTTCTTTCATCGCTTGACAGTAGTAACGGGAGTTAATCGTAATTAAAAAAAAAAAAAAAAAGCAAGCTATTTGCGCCATTAGTCAATCTTGATTTTCTAATGGGCAGCGGCTCGGATTTAGGAATCAGAAAGCCGAGTTCGAATTCGAATCGAATCCATTACATTCACTTACATGTTATTACCCTTGGGAATTGTATGAATCCTCTTCTCACCCCCCAACAATAATAGGTAAATAGCAGAACGGACCGAGTTCTATAGCCTTGGACAGCAACTGGTCTACCGCAGAAAGAAATGGCAACCTACTGCGGGAAAAAAATCTGCCTTGTCAGTCATGTATCGAAAGATACATGATCGCCTAAGCGTATATCACGCATGACACATAACTGACTGACTGACGTGCTAATACCTTTGGGAAAGGCATGATTCCTCTTCTTCTCCCCCTAGGTATGGGCAAATAGCAGGACAGACCGAGATCTATAGCCTTGGATAGCAACTGGTCTACCGCAGAAAGAAATGGCAACCTACTGCGGGAAAAATCTGCCTCGTTAGTCATGTATCGAAAGATACATGATCGCCTAAGCATGTATCACGTATGGCACATTTAGCCTTGTGATCTGTTGTGATATCGTAATTATGAAATACAATAAATAAATAAATAAGCAATCATTTATGAATGACTATGGGGCGTACAGTCGTACATACAAGAGAAAAGGGGTTATTCACGCATGCGCACACACACGCATACACACAGATATATGATATGCTGCAGAAACTACTGTGAATTTGAACTCGGCCTGCCAATATTTACCTGGCACATTTTTTTTTTAATCAGTGTCACACCAAACAAGGCAGTACAGCCACTAACAAGCAAGGGGGTACACGGTGTGGAGGAATTAGGAACAGAAACATTAGTAATAAGTAGAAAGAGAAAAGAGAAATCAGAAGGACAGTAGATAGCGATTGACATTGCATTTAAATTCTTCCAGATTAAAGTTGGCTGGAAAGTATGGAGACGGAAAGGAGTTCCACAAGCGAGAAGTGAGGGAAAAGAAACTGTTAGCATAGAATTTACGGCTACATCTTCGCTATGGTACCTAGACTTCATAAAGTCTAGGTAGCATAGCGAAGAGCTCATCGGAGTAATTACTATGAAAATACTTGTGAATAAGGCAAGTGGACAAGAATCTGAAGCCGAGCCGCCAGATCAGGACCAATAATATTGCTGATTCTTCTTTGGATCTTTGTATCTTATCAAGGAGCTCCAGGTAAATAGCAAGAGTATCAGACCATATATGGCAACAATATTCTAAGCATGAACGAATCCAGGTAAGTTAAGAACAATATTAACTCAAGCCCCAGGGGGCCATCCCCACCAGGCAGTACTTCTCATTCGTTAGGAGACTGGGTTTGTTTGCAGGTGACTGAGGCGTGCCCAAAAGGGAAGTGCCGAGAGGGTTTGAGCAATTTTTCCACGGTGTTGGTGTTAAATCCACTTTAAACTGACCTTGTGTCACATTCTATAGCGATGTGGGCGCAATGAAAAATACACATTATATATATATATATAAATATATATATATATATGTACGTATGTATGTATGTGTATGTGTGTGTATGTGTGCGTGCGTGCACATTTCATTGAATACGACAGAGAAGGTGATTTGATTTAGTTTTTTATACAATTTCTCATGTGATCTACTAATTTTTTTTTCAGATGATAAATTATATAAAAAAATATCCGAGTGTTCTTTTATTCGGAGCGCTTTCGGCTATACATTTAACCATTTTCAAGGATGAAATATTTTAACTGTTATATTAGAAATAGGTTGTTGCATGTATGTATCACTTAATAATATCAACTATGAACATGGACACAATATCTTGTCCGTGCATTGAGAAATGAAAACATATAAATACATACATGCTACAAACTATTTCTTATCTAACAGTTAAAATATTTCAGTCTTGAAAATGGCTAAATGTATAGCCGAAAGCGCTCGGATGAAAAAGAACATTCGGGCAGTTTTTATATAATTTATCATTTGAAAAGAAAAAAAACTTATTAGATCGCATGAGAAATTGTATAAAAAAAAATCAAAAGCACCTTTGTCTGTCGTATTCAACACACACACACACATACATATATATATATATATATATATATATATATATATATATATATAATGTGTTTTTCATTGCGCCCACATCGCTATCGAATGTGACACAAGGTCAGTTTAAAGTGGATTTAACGCCAAAGCACCTTGTCTCTTTTTTATACAATGAAATGTGCATGAAAGAAGGATTGTTGCCTAAATACACAAACACATACACAAACACACCCATATATATATATATATATATATATATATATATATATATATATATATATTATAATTTCACCCTCAAGGCAATAAACCCAATAAGACGCAGGTGTTTACTGAGTGTGAGAATATATGAGAAAAAGGAAAACATTGTGGAGAGAGAACAAGAAAAGAACAGGAATTAAGAAGACAAAATATAACGATTGACATTTTATTTAAATTTTTAAAGACCAAAGGTGAGTGGGAAGCAGGAAGCGGAAAGAGAGTTCCGCCAGAGAGAAGTGCGAGAGAAGAAATTGCTAGCATGTTGTACTTCAAATGTTATTTTAGTGGATAGCCGTATTTGAAATAGATGCCTAATTTTCATTTTTAAAGAGTGCAAATTGGCATCTATCAGCCTGCGGTCTTTACAAACAAAATCTACTCGAGTGTGCAGGCCGATAGATAAAATCATCGTTTAAAAAAAAAAAAAAAAGCTGGCGCTTGTTTCAAAAAACTGGTATCTACTATAAAATAACACATGTCAGATTGAACACCAAATACATCAAATAATAATATATATATATATATATATATATATATATATATATATATATATATATATATAAGAACAAAGTACAGAATATATTATCCGGTGTTCTTATAGATATTTTTATTTTTACAAAATAGTGCTCAATGTAAATTTACAGATCATTAATATTATAAATTAACTGATTCAAAATATCGTTTTTACGCTACGCAGTTCTAACCATGTTTCAAAAAATGGAAGCTAAAAGCTTCAATTTAATTTTGTAATTATATATATATATATATATATATATATATATATATATATATATATATATATATGATTTCTTGTAACACCAACCGTTTTTATAGCTGTGTTTTCTTTCTACAGCCACTTATTTTCATTTATTTTTCCGCCTCATATTTTAATAATTAAATTTTCATTCTATTTTCTTAACAAAATGAAATTCGGGAATTGTCTTTATGCTGGCAGGGTATAAAATGCTAACCTTTTATTTCGAGAAGAATTAAATCGGTTTTTTACTGTGTCCAGAAAGTGACCCGCTGAAAATACCGGTTCTCGTTTGATCACCGAAGTTAAGCGGCGCTGACCCCAGTCAGTACTTAGAGTGACCGCTTGGGGACACCAGGTATTGTAAGTAACCTCCTACAATCCGAAACATATGTCAACCTTGAACAGCACACGTAGGTTTGATGAGCCTAATAAAACGAATTAATCTTTCAGTCAATAAGTCTCCAATAATCTATAGTTGGATGGATCAATCAGTTCCTCCATTAATGTTCACCCAATACAAGGCAACTCAAGGAAGACGATTACTGTGCTGTATTAGCGTAAGAAAGGGGGAGAAGTGGAGTTCCTGGGCCTATGCAGCTAAGACAACAGCCAACTCTAGACTTGAAGTTGTCAAGATTTAGTTGTAATAATAATTCAGTCAGAGACGTTAGAAGTAAATGTGTGGAAGCAGACTTCAGAAGGAACCGGAAATCCAACCATAGACAGGAAACAAGGGATAAACCTCTACTCCTGTTCAAAAAACCGGGAACGGGACGATAGGCGAACCTATCTATTCCTATTGGGGGCGGGGGAGAGAAAAAAAAAGAAGATTCACTTCAAATTCCTTTAAAAGTACATGCACACACACATGAAGACACAAACACAGATACACGCTCGCACACAAAAATTGCTCTAAACGTTATATTTTGTGGACAAACGTGTTTCAGTAAACATCCCTTTTTTTTCTTTTTTTTTTAAATAGTGAAATTGCCATTTAACAATATGAGCTTTTTTGTAATGTCCATCGTGGCTGAGCATTCAAGAGCTCATTTACATTAAAAGTGTTTTTTTTTTCCAAGTTTCGATTCTTGGCAAGAGCCATATTTTATTTAATAAGGCATTTGATTGCACAGGCCAGTAAATGTGAAGTTAATGGCTTAAAATACAGGATGTTTACTCAAACACGTGTACCTATTAAAATAACACAGTAATAAGAAATAATGTGAAATTTAAAAAAAAAATAATAATTACTGTATATAGTAATTTATCGAGTCTAGCGGAGCCCTCAACACAGTGTAGAAATCACTTCGTCCTATCTGGGAATCACACTACCGTGAAACGAACCCGACCATTTCGATACAGCGAAACCATCATACCAACTGTACCAAGTGGCTTCGGTAACGGAGGCAAAACTGAATAGACTTGATATAGCGTCGCTACTCACAAATTCCGTGGTGATACTCATCCAAGTATTCAATTTGATGAATTACTCTATTGATTATTCTAATTCCTCACAATTATATCACTATATATATATATATATATATATATATATATATATATATAACACACGGAAACCTACCAAAGTCCATCCGCAGCATACTTGTAGAAAATACAAGTATAATAGCTTCATCTACATGTAAAAAAAGACTAAAAATAATGAAAGCACTAATAATAAAAAAAGAAATCCAACACTCAATAACATCAACTATGAACACGGCCACAATGTGCTATCCGTGTTTGGAAAATAAAACATTCCCATCACTCTAGAAACATATAGAAAAACTACACATTCAGTTAAAAATGAATAAATAAAAACATCCTCTATAATGGCTAATAGAACAACGGGAATAGCCCGGTTATATAGAATATTCGGAGAGTTTTTACGCACTTTATGTCCAGAAAATAACACTTATACAAG